GGAGCACTTTGAAACACAACATGAACACGTGACAGTTTGAAAGCCACGCGTTCGAAGAGCAAATAGAACTTCATAGGACAATACAATCCAACGACGCGACCGGGCCCAACAGACTGCGGTGCGGGAATGCTGAGGCTGAGTCCACTGTATACTTTGTACAACGGTGCAACAATACGTGTAGAGCAGGCGCGCGGCCGGCGGCTCGGCGCACACTTTTGTTGCTCCTGCAACGAATCCTCCCCCAGAGAGCGAGAGCGAAAGCGAGAGCGAGAGCGAGACCGGCGGCTCGGCGCACACTTTTGTTGCTCCTGCAACGAATCCTCCCCCCCACTCTATGCAGCCAACCGCTATCCCCCGGCGAGCCTGACAGCGGCGCGACAGAGCGACCGCGGCCCGGAACAAGTAGCTGCGGCAGCGCGCTGCCAGTCAGTGGGCCCGCCTGCCCGCCCCAGCGCGCCGCGCCAACGGCGACCAGCGGCGGTCCCAGCGGTAATGCGGATCTACTCTCATCGCAGGAGTAACGCGGCCACCCGTCAGCTGCTTAGCGCCTTGAGCCGGCGGGGCGTCACGGCTCCAGAGCCCTTAGCAGCCTCCGCGGCGAGGGGGACACTACTAGTCACAGCAAAGGCCCGGACAAATCACTTTTCAAGTCGTTTCCCAGTCAGCAGTCAATCGTGAGTTGCGGGGGAATAGAAACCTCCACCACAGAGACTACAGTCACTATTTGACCCAACTCCAGTCACTTGTCACGTCCAGTCATTTTCTGATCTTTTTCCAATCACCCAGTCAGATTTGACTAAGTGTCGGAGTACGTCCATAAGGACTCGATTAGATCACGCGGTAAAATTGATGGGCATCATAATTATTGCCGATTTTCAAAGTATGTAATACGGTCTGCGGATCCCTTGCTGAGGGGCGGTAGGGGGCGAACACATTTGACCGAAATGTGTTGGGGGATGTTTTTCCTCATGCCTTTCAGCTCAGCTCCCTCGTGACATTACTCTCACCTTCAGCTCGTCGATGGCTTCCCCAATTACTGCCGGCTGAGTGATGAAACAAACGGTCATTTGAACTCGTCCCGCCGATTATGCCCGCACACACAGGCGCGCGCGACCCCATACGTGCCTCTCACATTTCATTTTTTTTTAAATATTATTTTCGTGGCCGCTCTCCCCATAAGCAAAGTGGATCCCCCCTTGCCGCCGGCGCCCCAGGGGAGGAGGGACCTTCAACAGCACGGGATAATTTACCAGTAATTAGTTTTAGCGGGCAGCGCAGGCCGACCTTGGCGTGCCCACAGGAGCGCCTCGCCGCGCCTCGAGCCCTCGCACGGACGATTGGCAGGGCCGATACAGTGCGAGCTGGGGCGGCAGCGGCGGCGGCGACACACACATCAAAGCATGTCATCAGCGTCTGCAGGGTCAGACCGTACGCGGCCGCAGGGCGGGAGGCGGAGCAGGTCGCGGCGGGCTCGGGGGCGGGCCTGGGGGCGGGCCTGGGGACGGGCCGCCCCCGAGGGACTCACCGGCACACACGATCCCCACTCACCGCCCCGCTCGCTCTGCTCGCTCGCTCGCGCGCCCGCGCGCACACACGCACGCACTCACACGCACGCACTCACCTTGATCATCATCTCCGCGGTCCCAGTTGGCGGCGAGGACGGCGCGCTGCGGCAGCGGCGGCAGCAGCAGCAGCGGCAGGAGCAGCAGCGCCAGCGCCGGCGCCCCCCAGGGGCCCCCCGGGCGGCCCCCGCGGCGGAGGTCGGCGGCCATGGTGCGGTCCGCGTCGTGTCACCGCATCGCGACGCGGCGCGCCGCCTCCAAGCGCCCCATCCTGCGCACACGAGGAGAAAACAAAATCACACAGTGAGGTCGACGCACAGAGAAAAAGAATTGTCCAATACAGACATGGAATCAAATCGATCCATCTGTCGAAACGATTTAAAAACTGTTATTAACGGCATGAGGAAAAGCCAGTGCTCTTTAACACTTGACAATGTCCAGTAATAATTTCATAATGCCAAGACTAGACATAGTAGTATAACACTCCGTCCATGGAGTCAGCTAAGTCACATAGCCTATGTGTCGGTGACTCCTCGCCCGTAGCGTTAGACACACTGATACGAAAAATGAGCTCTCGTTCCAAATCCTGCTCGCTGGTTCTCTCACCAACCACCTTTGTCCTCATTCTTTTCCTGGCCTTAGTACACGCGCTTTCTCAGGCACCATCGCAGTAAGACCGAGTGAGACAAAGAAAGGAGATAAACCAGTCACGTGGGAGAACAGGCGTGTCCAAATGCTTAGGGAAGTTGGCTAGGGAGTAGGAGGGAGGAGTGAGAAGAACAGTGGTGAGGAAGAATCAGAAGAGAGAAAGAGAGGGGAGAAGGAGAGGAGAGAGATGGCCATCAGGGCGTCGAGGGCCTGGCAGCAGGCGTTTGGACCAGGCCGAGCCACGAAAAAGAAGTGAGAGGGAAGATAAAGAAGGAGGAGGAAAAAAGAGCTCGCCAATGGGTCTCTGCGCGCTCTGCGCCCAGAGCAAGAGAGGAAGGCCTCCTGTGACAATGATCAATTTCACCCTCCTTAGCGCGGCGTTGGCGGTGTGGGCCGGATCGCCACACTGCGGCAGAGCGCAGCGGATCGGTGGGCGCGGACGGACAAGCGAGTCGGTTGTGATATCGGGTCTTTTTCTCTCGGGGCAATCATCAGGAACAGCAGGTTCTCGGACTAAGGACCAATCATAAAACGGAAGCAGCAAGACGCCGCCGCCCGCCCCTTCCCGTAAGTTCGCCTTCTTTCTGTTCCGGAAAATCGTACTCAGCACACCGAACCAGTCACACCGACACACAGACAGTTTTTTTATATACTATTTTTTGTAGTCGAGGAACCAATGACGAAGTTGGAGGAGGAGGACTCAGCTCACAGCTGACTGTGAGGAAGACGACACTACGTCCCTTGACAGCATAACATGCATATATTGAGCCGGCTCAGGGCAGGATAGATCCTCGCCCACACGGCCTGTTATCTCCCTAAAGACGAGGTAAACGCAAGACGATGGGTCCTAAGAACGTTGTCCGATCTCGCAGTGACGCTTCAACAAAGTCCGATCGCCTTTTGACGTTCTCTGCAGCGCCGTCTTCTTTCAATTGCGAGTTGAATAATATTGGCAGTAGAGAAAAAGTAAAAATTGCGATGTGTTCTTAAAAGATCAAGGACGACATTGCAGTTTTTAATTTTTCTCTACTGCCAATATTATTCAACTCGCAATTGAAAGAAGACGGCGCTGCAGAGAACGTCAAAAGGAGATCGGACTTTGTTGAAGCGTCACTGCGAGATCAGACAACGTTCTTAGGACCCATCGAAGAGCGAAGTGACGGACATTCAGTCCTACATCACACTCTTTCAGCCATATAGGGCTAGGCGGCTTTTCACATCGTTAAACAGTATAAAACATCATACAGTTGTTCGAATCATTTTTATAAATTCCCACATGCTAAAATGACAAGTTGTTGTCCTTTTAGTGGTGCATTTTGCTACAAACGCGATCCTGTTGTGGCGCTCTCAGGGCCAGCGTGGGTGTAATCCGGCCTTACCGCGAAGGGAGGGGGCGCGTTTGGGTCTACGGTGGAATAAAGGCGAATAAAAGCCCCTCGATTGTGACGACTCCACAGCTGGGCGCGGCGGCGGCTGGAGGGGGAGTCTAAGAGGTACGTCGGCGGGGTGCTGGCGGGGCGTGGGCCGCAGCTGGGCCGGGCGGAGAGCCTATCTGTCAACGCGGGGGACAAGCACAGTGGCTTGACGTTTCGTTTGGGTTTGCGAAGAGCCGCCAGAGAGGGGGTGCGGAGAGGGAGGAGGTAAGACAAGAGTCCCGGCAAATAAGAAAAGGCGGCAACGGAAGGTAGTTCGACAAGTTCTGCAGCTGGGCCTTGCATCTCGGCAGAGTCAGCGTGATACAATTCTCGTTGGTGCGTACGTAAAAGGGATTCTATGGCGACCCGGAAAGTACCTAGGAGCATTGGGGAGGTGGTACTCGCCTGTCTCCCCGACCGACCGCAGGGACTTTCGTCTTTCCTTCTGACTCGAGGAAAAGCTCCCCTATTTATTGATTTAATTTTTTCCCCTGTTTGCTGTATTTTCCCCGACCGCTTTCGGATCCGCCTCGCGTCCGCGTTCGTCAACAATGTTCTTTCTTGTGTCTTTCCCTTTTCTCTCTTATTTCGTTTCATTGATTCATCCGCTGATTCTGCCCTGTCTGCGATACTATTATGCTGCGCAGGGATCCTCCCAAAGGAGAAAAACGAAGAGGCTGATAAAAAATACAACAGTCTCTTTCGTTTGACAAGTCTCGGTCCGACCGCAGCACGAGGAGGACCACACTGACAACAACTACGCGTCCCGATGTCTTTTAAAGCGAGTAATGCGAGTCAGCCCCGTCGATAACATATTCAGAACGCGCACTGGGGGTTTGGCGCACAGCCAAACTAACCCCAGAGCGCCCGGAGTAAACATATCACGCCCGACGCTCTGTACTGCTGAGCGGTGTAACTCGGCGAGGGAATTTGACGGGCCTGTCAGGTTTATGTTGGGGAGGAGGGTGTGCGGGCGGAGCAAGGGCTGATGCGCTTCCGAACAGGATACCGTTAACACCGCGACCCGCCCGTAATAGCCACCTAATCAGCCTTATTATCAAAGCCTACGATCTAGCGGGGGATAAGGGCGAAGTGGAGAAGGGAAGGGCAGGGGGTCACAGTGGCTGGAGTCTGCAGAGGAAAATTAAGGGTCTTTATGTAACATTAGCTACAGTCTGTCCTACCGTTCAACACATATAAGTATATCGAGGCTGTAAACCTCCATTCGACATACACGCAAAAGCCTTGCATACAAACTTTGTTTGAATTCGAACTATAGCAAAATTAACCATTAGTTATGAAATTGACACCAAAAAGAATGGAAGAGTTTACGGTATGACAAGAGGTGATGCACCTGGATATTTAGAAGAAAAACTATGTATACGTGTACGTGTGAGTGTGTGTGTGCTGTGTGCATATGTCGTATCTGGATGCGATTCTCCGCCCCCGCCCACCGCAGTCACGACTAAAAATAAGAGCAGTGCTTTGGCACGCGGGGGCGGCAGCGGGGGTGGGCAAGAACTGGGGTGGCAGAGCGGGGTCGGCATCGGGGGGCGGCAGCGGCATCGGGGGCGTCAAGCGGGGGCCGCAGCGGCAGTGGGGGCGGCAGTGGGGGCGGCAGTGGGGGCGGCCCCTGCCCCTGAGGGTAGCTGCTCCGCCCAGCTCCGCCCGCAGTGCTGCCCTGGCTGGCGCTGGCTGGCATGGCCCCCCCGGCATCGACACCGCCCTATATGGTAATGCATGCCACTCGTGATATCTTACCAGCGGCAGCGCCCGCCCCCGGCCCGCCCCTCCCGCCCCCTCGACCGACTTAGGGCTGGTCAGGGAGCCGTAGCTGCCGGCTGTGTTATTCTAATGGCGGGAACACGCGCAAGCCCCTCGGCACCACTGCCCCGCTCCCCTCCACACAGCATCGGCGGCCGCAGACGGTGTCAGCGGGATGACAGCCGCCCTCTCCACCCGCCGCGCTGTCACTCGGACGGGG